TCGAGGCCTGGAGTTGCCCAAAGACTGAGATTCGCTTCTTTTCCACTTGATGATCTGCTGCACCTTGCAGTGTGTATCACTCACACTTTAACACAGCTGGTTATTCATAAGACCACTGACTGACATTCTCTCACCCCTATTTTCTTTCACACCCTGGGAAAGAAAATAGGAGTGGACATTTTTTATTTGGGACTTTAAATAATAAGCTGTTGTGTAGAACATTTTCCACATGTGAAAAGAGTGTGAGATTTTCATTTGAATGTACATTGGATTTGTGTAATCTGTTTGTATAAAAGTTAAGGAGTCAGGTTACTAGGGTGCACCCGAGCATTGAAAACCAAAAGGGACACTTGGCCAAGTCATTGTCTTAGTATGTGTTTTACTTTTCTTTCATTTTTTGTAAGTTTCTTTTCTACAATTGTAAAGTGCCTTTAACCTGTGCTTGTCAACCTTATGGTTTATTTCACTAAAGTCGGTTGGTTCTTTTGAGTTACATTCTTGTCTCAGTGTCTCATTTAAACACACCTCTGTGCTCCTATAGTCGAACCTATTGGCCCATTTATATATTATTTTCAGCAATTCCCCTTACTGTGTTACATGTGAGATGCAGGGATCACATACATCCGGCCTCCTGATGACTTTAGCTCCTAAAAAACGCGCAGCTGATGACACTCACCATTTTCCCTCGCTGTTCTCAAACTGCTGGACAGTGTAGCCGAACATATCTTCCAGCGGTCCAGAGAAGGACAAACTGTTCTTCTGGTCCACGTTGAAGGAGAACACGCAGGTCAGCAGCACTGCAAAGATAAAAGTACAGTAAAGGTTACGCATGATAAGACTCGAGAGTGGCGCCGCTTTACTTCCTGTTTGAGTCTGCTGTGCTGCTCTTCAGAGTGGATTTACATAAACTGATGGGCAAATACTGAAACAAAAGATGTGCGTATGCAGTTATTTCTAAGTGCAGAAGCCATAAACACTCAGTAAATATTTCTGAAACCCTCAAGATGCCTCTTGGAAATGGAAAAAAAAGAGATCTACTAAAATACTTTGTAAATGTAATAAATAAAAGTTAGCATTTAGGTATTTTAGTTACAGCAAATATAAATAATTCTATTTATGTCAATATTATTTACGGGTGCATGAAAATGATGTACCCAGATGAGGGCCGAACTTTGTGAACCACAGACACGCACACAGACACACACAGTCATTCTGGAAGAGGAATTTCGAACATCAATGTGAGCCATTTTGGTCAGGGTTCAATCTGACCTCCAGGACAATGGCTTCTTCTCTGCACTCTGCCCAGTCTGGGTCTGTCTGTCACTGAGATGAGTATATCACAGAGCCTCTATATAAATCCATCCATGTCTCATTGTGCCTGCACCACAATGACACTCTTTATATCTACTGTGCCAGGAAATTCCTTCAATATAATTTATTCAATTCCCGGACCTTTGAGGGAGTGTAGAGGAGTAGAAGAACAGTGGGATTAAAAACAGAATGTGCAAAGGCAGACCGCATACATAGACACACAAGGATAAAGCAGCTATTTATCCTTTGATGGTAATGCTTTGTAGCTAATGTGTCTGAGAACTACATTAAAAGGTCTAGACTGAAGTAATTTTACATCTTTTAGCAACACCCAAGAATTGATTATGTTTGTTGGTTTATCCACCAGATATTTCAGTGTGGTCCACACAGCAACATCCCAGACAGATTGCTTTGATATTTAGAAGAGACATTCACGAGCTCCAGAAAATGAATGAATATTCTTACTCAGTCAAAACATCCCTGAATCTACACAATTTATTCTTCTGATTAAAAGCATAAAATGATTACAGTAGCATCTAAAAGAGAGCCCTGTGAAAGTACACCCCGTGATTTAGCAGCTTATATGATTTTATCAGGACCTTTCCGTGGTTGTGGATGAATTTTGACTCTTCTTTACAGCGCTGCTTCAGTTTAGTGACGTTTGCAGGCATTCGTTTATGCACAACAGAGGTCTTATTCTTTGTTCAGATGTAACTCTACTGCCATGTTCTTTTTAGGGAGACAGAAGGTAAAATGTTTTTCACACATAAAGGTTTGGCCTTTTTCCCAAAAATGGGAAATCAGGAAGGGAGCAAACACTTTTTCACACCAGTGTAAAGACAATTTGGAATATCTGATATATACAAAATAATTCTGCATACAGTTGGGTCAAAGTAACTACAGAGCCCACTTCAAGAGACCATTTAATTCGACTGTAAAGTAAAGAGTTTTTATATACTGCACTAGGAAGCTGACTTATTTTGGGAGCCAGCGTCTAGTGGTCACTCAAGGAACTTTTGTTTTTCTTCAGCACTGGCTTAATATTTCAGCCGAGGTTGTCTCTTGGCTCCATACATTCAAATGTGCTTACTGGCTTACTAAAATCACAAACTGCTGAAAATGTGGAGTGGTCTCCTGTGCATATTAACAACACAAGAAAGCCACAGAGAGCAATACATGCAGGGATTAGCATATGTAAGCATCCCTCTCTGTAAACAGAGCAGTTGTAAAACTGCTAGTCACGTTTAAATGTCGATCATTTAGATTTCATATAAGATTTCACTTTTTAAATTTCCAGAGACCACGAAGGAGGCCTGCTGAGTCATATACAGGAACCCCAGATGAGAAGTATTACCCCCTCTGTTTCTCCCTCAGTCATTTCTGCACTTCCTCTGTGACCCCCTTTCCATCTCTCAGAGAAGCTCAATTTCCTTTTCCTATTAACCTGATTATACATCTCCACAAATCCAAAGGTACACACGCACACACGGACACACAGCTAATTTAGCTGATTTAAGATGGCTTCAGGCCAACCAGGCCTTTTCATTCATCACAGACTGAGCTCAAGTACAGTTCAGAGTCAAACCGGCCTGAGTTGTAAATCACTTAGGAACATCATTTGTCCACTGGCAGGCACATACTTTGTGTATACCAATCTCATTTCGCTGTATTGGGTGTCTCCTGGCTCTACTCTCTTCAAATCAGAACCAGTGAAGTTATATAACTGTCTATTTTTGTGAGATGCGCTAACATCTGCCCTGGAAAACCAATAAGCAGTCTTGTCCCTCTGTGGATGGAAATGGCCACATGAGTGTCTGAGGTACTGGCATATATACCCATATGGAAAAGAAATAGTAAAAACATATATGATTTACTCATGAAAGTGGCCACTTTCTCATTACTTTCATATATTGTTTTAGTAAGTATACAAAACATACAAGTTTCATTGTATAATTTTTCAAGGGATCTTATATGTGTTTTCACTCTTGTATGCTTTTCATACAAGTTTCATACAAGACAGATAAAAACTTTATAAGATTTATATATATCTTTTCCATATGGGTATATTTGTCCATCACTGCTGGAAGGTTCATTATGTACTCAGTCACACATGAGCGTGTATAGCACATCAGTTCATCCTGACTGAAATATCTCAACAACTCCTCAATGGACTCCCATGAAATTTTGTGCAGACACTCATGGTCCCCAGGGGAAATAAAATACTTGCTAAGGTCAAGCTGTGACCTTTCTTTAAGAATGAAACTGATCATTGTGGTTTAAGTGAAATGTGTCAAAAATTACTCATTTAGACCCCCTTCAGGATGAAATGTTCTGACTGCAAAAAAGGACAGAATTAAGCAAGATGTAGGTTTGAGTTGTAAAAGTAAAGCCAATGCAGAAGTGCACTGACTCTTCTTTCCTTTTCATGGGATTATGGGTGACTCCGGTTGCAAACTGACTTCTGGATGTAGGTCTGTAAGTCTATGGGAAAATGGCCCTTGGCTTCCTTGCTTTTTGACCTCAGTAAACACTTTCTTGATTACTTTATGACACCAGTTGCTATTTTCAAGTCATACTGAATAAAACATGAAGTTCATTTTGTAAGTTATGGTCATTATCCAGAAAAGGGAATTATCGAGGGTTGAATGACTTGTCAGTCGCTAGCCAATAAGCAAGCAGTGTCACTGTCAAACTCAACTTTACCTCATTAGATATGGTTTCAAAAAACATTGAAATGCCAGAAACAGTAAGCTTAACAAACTTTGCTTGAGCCTTTCTCCAACAGTAACTGACATATATATACAGTATATACAACTAGCAGAACATCTTTACAGCGTAGATGGTAGGAAATACAGGCTTAGCTTCCTGGTACATTTAAAGGGAAAGAAAAATAAAGCCACTACAGATGTGTCTTTAACCTGTATTCTTTTCTGAAGGCCACCATATGGTGACAGCAAAAAGCAAAATCATCTTTTAAATAGTTTATAGGTTGGCTTAAAAAATGTTAACAAGCTAATTTCTCCTTGGCATTTTTGTACAACTTACCAGTTTCAAGGCAGTAACATTTAAAGTGGCCACTTCAAGTGATGGATGCTTGCTTTTACATCTTGCTGAACATTCAACCCCTTCAAAAGAGCAGTCAGTTGGGCATTACTTTCTGGCAAGTACATTCATTTTAAGCCTATTTGTCAATGGCTAAATTTAGCATCCCATTAAGTATCACAAGAGAACAATGGAAGCACCTTGCTAATTAAGCTAGCTAGCCAACTAGCTACTTTTGGTCTTCCATCCAACCTTTCGTCCATTTTCTGTCATTTAACATGGTCCAGGCCTAATGTACAAACAAATATATGATGTGATAGTGGTTACAAACATCTTTTACTGTTTATAGATAAATAGTACTGAGCTTAAAGCAGCATGCTGTCCTTCTATAAACAAAACTGACAGTGCGTTTTAACTTTAAGACAATTTCCCTTTGTTTTGTGTTCATAATCATTCTGACTGTTGGGCTCTCCACACTACAAAAACAGCAGAGGCCCACAGCGTCAATGAACACGTCCAAAAAAGCCAAAAAATCTGCATGTCATTTATCAAAATGGAAAACATGCTGACCAGAAATGTCTAATCTAAGTTGGTTTGAATACTGCAAAAGTGATATTACAGTGGGTCTGTTTTCAGTCAAGGACCACGTGGTCCTGATTGATCCCAGCAGTCTGTCAGCCACACAATAAAACCCCACTGCTCTCTCTGCCACAGTTATCAAAACCAAAGGAAAACCAAAAGACTTTGCTGCTGATACAGCGAGTGCAGAAAGCAGCACCCACTGACCTGTGAGACATCACTCAACTTAGCACCTGTAGGCTTCAAAGCTTGGCTCAGCTATGGTTAAAAATCTGCATCCCATTGGCACCTGCTCATCTGTAACATATCTAACCATCTATAAAGAGCTTTAAAGCTTAATGCAAATCACCAGCTCTGGGAAACAAAATCATGAAGTGGGCCTGACATTTGACCTTAATTAGATGCAGTGAGAAATCAGTTGTTAAGTTGATCCAAGACAGACAGTCAAAACAAATCTTCTAAAAAGAAAGCAAGCAAACATCTGCAGAAACTAGAAAAAAGTTCATGTCGTGCTGAACTGAAGACTGAACTGGTACATTTATCATTTATGGCGTTGACCCTTCAAAGGAATAATGTCAAAAGGGGCTTTGGGTGGGACTCAGACCTTTTCTAAAACCACATGCTGGCATTTAATAAGAGACAACACTGGCAAGAGAAAAGCTTCAAATAATTCTGGCATGTCTGTGGGCAGCCTAGAGCCATGAAGAAGTTATAAAACTGAAATATTTCCAGATTTCCTCCTTTGTTCTTTTATCTTTGTCCATTTTTCTTCTTTACTGCACATTTTTCCCATTTTTCCCCCATCCATTTTTTCTCTAAATTCATCTACTTTGCCACTCCAACAGTAACCACGCTACCCTCTCTA